GTTTTCAAATCCACCTTCCATGACTGTTCATTCTGTGGCATCCGCTTTGTTGATGATCTGCGTATTCTCGTCTTGTATCCCCTCGTTTGTGGTGAGGAATGGGCAGCTCGACGTGCAGAGGAAATGTTGAACTACGTGTACCCTCCACACCTTGTCATGAAGGATGATGTGGTAAACCCTTTTGTGGGGATGAGGTTGCTTTGCATGCACGGTTCCATCCATTGGTGTGCTCATCACAAACCTTTGGGTGAGGTGCTTGCCTACAACCAGCGGTACCAACAAGCTTTGCTACCATGGTGCTCGTTCTCACCATCTTCTACTTTCGAAGCGGTCCTCATGGGTGGCTTTTCAAGATGCATGTTGCTCTCTAGCAACCTTGGTACATTCTCTCCGGGACTTCATCAGCATGATCACTCTTCAAGCTGGCTACCCCTCCAGCGTTGTGATTCAGAAGCTCAAAACCTGGACCCGAAAGGTTTCTCATGATCGTAATATTTTGAAAGATTGTCTTGCAGCTGCGCCAACAGCGTGCGATTGCGAGTCCAACTCATTTAGCGCGCCACAGCTTGTATGGCCAATTGGGCGTTTAAACCAAGCTGCGATCTAGAGCCATTTGTCGCTGTAAAATTCAGTTGGGTTATCTTGATGCTCTTGCGTGCTCGCTTTGTTTAGGCTACGTTGTCGTTTCTTCCGTTCTTTTACGTTGTCTGACTACTGGCTGGTTTCAGGTTTGATGCTGACGAGTATGAAAGATGGTCCAGTGCTGGCCTTCGACTCTTGTTACCGAGGTGTGTCTTAGGTATGGGTAGGACGTATCGCGCAATGATCGAAGATGATGATAATTCTACCGCCCCTGCCTCAGCATTGCCTGCATCATGAGCATGACTTTAACATTCCCGGTGTCGTTGCCTCTGGATTCCTCTCCGCCCGTCACTTTTGGGGGTTCTGGTGGGACTTCGCCCTCCTATGATGTCTGCGTCCGGGCGCACATCACGCGTACAGACAGAGGAGGCGCGTGATGGGTCCTTGAGCGGCGGTCTTGGTTGTCTTCTTCCTTGCATCTTTTCCCTCCTTTTCTTGAGATCACCGGCCCACGGGCAAAAGATTCTGTGCCTAATGTGGCAAAGATCCTTAAAACAGCTGAACAAAGCTGCTGCATACATGTACTGGGCACGTGTTCCGGCCTTGAGCTGATGCCGTGTCTCAAAGCGCCTCCATCGGGGGAATGGTATTCGTCCAATGGACACAGAGAACAGAGAGAAAGTCAGGGTCTGCCTATTTGTGAACAACGATTGCTTGTGTCAGATTTGATTGGTTCCAGTCTCTGTTTGTAGTCCATGTGCTGATCGCTTCTTGTGTGCACGCAGCCCTGGCTGCTCGAAAACCAAAGTGTTGGCTCTGTGCTCGTATCGTGCCTTCGCCGCCATACTGATGTTTGGTATCGGTCAGAACCTGTTCTATCCAGGACAGCAGAATCCGAACACAGCCTGGGGCATGCAAGGAAATTGGTACTACCCTTACCAGGGAAGCATGAGTGGGGGCGAGTACGCGCATGGTGCCACAGGGACTTCAACGATGCATATGCACAATTACGGTCAGCAACACATGCAGCATACAGGTTACCAGCCTGCACAAGTTTCGCCGGAGTTCAGTTCCTCAAGTGTGCCAGTACCAACGCAAGGCACCACTGGCGCTGAGCAGCAGCCCGCATCGCGTGTCCAGCAAGTTTTGGACATGATTGCCTCACTATCGGACGTTGAGAAAACGGAGGTATGGAGTTCTAGCCCTGATGCTCGTGGAATGCCGGGAGATTTTGATAACATAGTGCGTGCTCTTCTTAACTCAGTTGTGAGTCTTGATCACCTTGATGAGAATGATCTTCGAGTAGTGGCTGATTCACTGATTGACTCGCTGAGCCGCCTATGCCAGGGTGTTGACCTGCACCCTTTCGTCACACAGGCAATGCATCGTGGGATCGATGAGGGCCGTGTGGATGCAACGAAAGTGGCCGATGCTGTGTTGCTAGCTGCTACATGACAAGTTGAACCCACTTCTGTGGAAGGCTCCAGGCCACCTCAACCCCGACGAGATTCAACGTATGGGGAGGGGTTGCCCAGACAAGATTGCAAAATGCCTTGCGATCAACAAGCTCATGATTCAGTGTGGAGCTTCAACCTACTGAATCCCGCAAGTTTTGGGTCCGGGAAGGAGCCAAGCCAATTGCCACCAGCAGCAATGAGCGGGATTTCTTCTTTGGTGTGGTCCCCAAACTGAACCTGCAGGTGGCCAAACCTGTAGTGCAGGAGTGCGTTGCTTGGATTGTCGCCAATGTCCCTGCTCAGTTCAAGAAGGGGACAAGTGAAGCCCCGGAAAAGCGTAAAGCTGGAAGTGCAGCTGAAGGAGAGGTTGGAGCACCCCCGGCAAAGCTCCCCAAGCGTGTTGATTTTGACTTTGGTGCATATACACTTGAAAAGTTTGAGCTTGACGCACCAGGGTTGGCACGTTCCTCCCTTTTGTCTGTGAAGGAAGCTTCGAAAGAGCAACCCTTTGACAGTAATTCGCCGATCCATGCCGTGGCCGTCAAGTTTGACACTGCTCTAGAGAAATTGGGAGTTGAGGGTCAGATCCGGGAGTCCGTGGAGCTTTCAAAATGTCCACAATAAACATAGGCCTTAAGTGTGACAAACGACAGGTGCATGAGCTCAGGAGATGGGTGGCGCGTGCGTTGGCTTTGAAGCACAGCTCTGCTGAGTGACTACAGCACCAGGGCCAGGATGTTGCCACGCACGTTGCAGTGGCAACGGGGCTTGCTCCTCGGAGACTAGCCCAATGGAGAAGCGTGTTGCGCTCCATGTTGTTTTTGCTAATTGATTGCATGTGCTCGGTTGCAAGGAAGCTTGGTCTTCCTGGTAATTGCGCTTTGTCTGTGCTGCTGGAGTTGCGACTTGCGTCGCTTCCGATTGTGGCTGAATACCGCTCGTTATCCACTTTTGATCATGATCAGAGCCTTCTTGCGTACCTGAGAAAGTTTCCGGGCGGACTGTGGCCTGACATGGCCCCGATTCCGAGCAACGCTTTGTATGTCTTGTGGAGCCCACTCCACTCTCACATGTATGCCGGACGGACGATCGATTTCAACCGTCGTCATACGGATCACTCATACAGGATACACAATCCGGGGGCCACGGGCCAGATCCCTGCTTACTTCTTCCTCCGTGAAAAGGTGCATGCCGATATCCCAGCTGTGGCATCCTTCTTCATGCTCCCAGTTGTGGCTGTCAATGGAGGTGTGCCAGAAGCTGTTGCAGCAGAGCGTGTGTTTCTTGGCAATTTTTGCTTCAAGCTTAATACACCTCATGTCTACCGCCATCTTAGTCATGTTGCGCTTGAGTTGGTCAACCCTGGCTTGCTGAAACGGCGGAAGAATCTTGGACCTGCGATACCGCTTGTGGCCCCGCAACCTCTTGATTCTGCAAAAGCCACGGTGCTTACTAGCCACCCTTTGGCTAGACATGTGAAGAAACAGCGAGGTTCAAGAGGGCTTGCAGTGCCAGTGCTGCCGACAAAGCCCCAGCCTGTGTCCTCCGTTGGTCGCATTCTGTGTGCTTTATGCTTCGATTGTCGGGACAAGATTGCAAAGCATGGCCTCCGGCTTTTGTTCGTAATCAAGTCTCGCGCGTCATTGTTGCACATCTTTCACCAGGTGCAGAGATGGGCTACATCTCGCAACAAAGCTGCTGCTTTGAAGTTTGTGCGGAGGCGAGCTTGCCAACTTCAACTTCAGCTCCCGGTGCCACGCCTCGTGATTGAGCTACCGTGGTGTGGCACAAAAGGCAACATTCATGGTACCAAACTGGCCATCCAAGATTTCATTGTGCGTCTGTTCTCCATGGGTGCCTGCCAGCCCAGTGTTTTCTCTCACGGACGGGCGAAGTGCCAAATTGTATGGAAACCAGGCTTGAGCATCTTGGACATTGTGCGGACTGCGCCAAGGTACAACAAACGCCTTGATGATGTTGAATTCTGCGCATGCACATGCCGGGACCTACCCAGCAGCAGCTGGCCACGTTGTAAGGCACTTGACGGGTCTTTCCATGTTTGTGCTCGTCAGAGTGAGCTTCCGCTGCCGAGTCGTTTGGACTTCTTGCGTCAGCTGTCGGCCCATACCCGTGTCGTACCTGCAAGGGACGCAATGTTGAATCAGGTTGCAGCTGGGTTTAACCATGTTGCTCGTGCATTGCTTGACCCCTTTTCTGACCGAAGCATGCAGGGGCAGTTGGAACATGTTGCACAGGAGTTTGCGCAGAAGCTTGTTGACAGTTGGAGTCTTGGTCATGAAGACATGGGGTTTGAACATGTGAAAGGGGCAGATGTCGCAGCAATAAAGAAGTTGTGCAAAGGGCTCTACATTGAAGCTCTGGACAAAAACACATCTGAGTTTGTCTGCATGTGCCCTCGCATGTACTTTTTGCAAGCTAGTGGTCTGTTTCAACATCATCCACCGGACGTGTTGATGATAGGTGCGTCTTACAGGGTGCTGCGAGCCTTCCAGACAACAGCGGAGAACGGCTGTTTGGAGACGCGTCTGCAGGAAGGTGAGCTCGTGAAGGTCTCGGATATTGATTCTGAGTCCTGAGCGTGTTAGGTTTGGAAACCTGTCGGCATCCCAGCATGGCCTTTTGGATTGCCTTCAACCTGTGTTGGGTGCAAACTTCACGTATCAGCGTGACGAGCCTGATTGGCTTGGGCTTGACAGCATTGTGATTCCATACTTGCGTGATGATCTGCAGCCTGCAGCACTCAACAAGAGGTTTAGGCGTCGCTGGCTAAAAACACTTGCAGGGCGAGAAGAATCATGGGGAAAGGTGAGGGCTGTGCCGAAGCACAAGAACCTTGCGGTAGCTCGCCCGCTTGGTGACCAGTCTTGCAATCCGTTGAGCCTGCTATGCCGTGTCCTTGCGCGTTTCATTGACCTGTGCCTGAAGAGTTTGTCCACTGACATGCATTTTGACCGCCCTACGCACCAAAGTGTAATCACTGCGCTCCGGAAGCTGAAAGACAGACCTTTTGCTGAAAAAGGTTTGACGACTGCGATGAATGGGTTGAGCAACTACGGAATTTTCATCCTCTCCCGTGATGTTGACAACGGTTTCATGCGGATACAGCATGTGGAAGCCCAGCAGGCGTGGCTTTACTTGAAATCCGCAATGTTATCATATGGTCTGTGCAGTGCTTGGATCACCACGTGCTCCACCGCGAAACGGTCGTTGCATGATCCTCATGGCTCAGCATCATGGACCAAACCAGTCGGTACACACTGGGTTAAGGTAAATCTTGATGATGTGGAACCCATACTGGCTTTCCTATTCCAGCACATGCAGTTCTCTTTCGGTGCCCATCGAGGATGGCAAACCGAAGGAATCATGATGGGACAGGCGGCTGGTGGCGAAATCTTCCGGATGGTGCTTGTAGCGCATGAGGGCAAGGCCTTGAGTTCTGGTACTTGGCTGGACTTCAAATCCACCTTCCATGACTGTTCATTCTGTGGCATCCGCTTTGTTGATGATCTGCGTATTCTCGTCTTGTATCCCCTCGTTTATGGTGAGGAATGGGCAGCTCGACGTGCAGAGGAAATGTTGAACTACGTGTACCCTCCACACCTTGTCATGAAGGATGATGCGGTAAACCCTTTTGTGGGGATGAGGTTGCTTTGCATGCACGGTTCCATCCATTGGTGTGCTCATCACAAACCTTTGGGTGAGGTGCTTGCCTACAACCAGCGGTACCGACAAGCTTTGCTACCATGGTGCTCGTTCTCACCATCTTCTACTTTCGAAGCGGTCCTCATGGGTGGCTTTTCAAGATGCATGTTGCTCTCTAGCAACCATGAGTGCTTGGTACATTCTCTCCGGGACTTCATCAGCATGATCACTCTTCACTCTGGCTACCCCTCCAGCGTTGTGATTCAGAAGCTCAAAACCTGGACCCGAAAGGTTTCTCATGATCGTAATATTTTGAAAGATTGTCTTGCAGCTGCACCAACAGCGTGCGATTGCGAGTCCAACTCATTTAGCGCGCGCCACAGCTTGTATGGCCAATTGGGCGTTTAAACCAAGCTGCGATCTAGAGCCATTCGTCGCTGTAAAATTCAGTTGGGTTATCTTGATGCTCTTGCGTGCTCGCTTTGTTTAGGCTACGTTGTCGCTTCTTCTGTTCTTTTACGTTGTCTGACTACTGGCTGGTTTCAGGTTTGATGCTGACGAGTATGAAAGATGGTCCAGTGCTGGCCTTCGACTCTTGCTACCGAGGTGTGTCTTAGGTATGGGTAGGACGTATCGTGCAATGATCGAAGATGATGATAATCCTACCGCCCCTGCCTCAGCATTGCCTGCATCATGAGCATGACTTTAACATTCCCGGTGTCGTTGCCTCTGCATTCCTCTCCGCCCGTCACTTTTGGGGGTTCTGGTGGGACTTCGCCCTCCTATGATGTCTGCGTCCGGGCGCACATCACGCGTACAGACAGAGGAGGCGCGTGATGGGTCCTTGAGCGGCGGTCTTGGTTGTCTTCTACCTTGCATCTTTTCCCTCCTTTTCTTGAGATCACCGGCCCACGGGCAAAAGATTCTGTGCCTAATGTGGCAAAGATCCTTAAAACAGCTGAACAAAGCTGCTGCATACATGTCACTTGCCGCTTGCTGCCCGTAGGCTCAGCGATCACATGTCAAGCTGAAGGGGTAGCGACGGTCATGTGTGTGTTTATGTTACACGAGACACTTGAGCAGGAGACAGGCAAGCATGCACGGCACACTGTTATCAGTCACGTCTAGCTTGCTGCGCTGATCATGGCCTCAGGTCTTGACTCCTCGGCCTACTTCCTCGAGCGACTTGCCAAGGTCGGGCTGTCGAATGAGCTGAGAGACGCCCTAACCCACGCCGGGTACACAACGTTCGGGTCCCTGGCTTTCGCTGTGTCCTCCACCCCGGGCGCGGTTAGCGATGAGGCCGTCTCCAGGTGGGCGTTGCGCCTTACAGATCCGCTCCCGGGTGAACACCAGATGTCTGTGCTGCGCCGTCTTCTCTTCGAAGCTCAATCCATGTCGATAGCCGAGATGCGTGACCGGGTCAACCTAGCTCCGGGTGAGGCCCCCACTCGCAAGCTGCCGATGATCGAGCGGGCAGAAAGGCTCAAATCTCTCCGTCGCAAGTTGCCTGGGCTGATCTTGACCCCGGACACTTTGCCGGCCAACCGCTGAGTGGACAACTACGTCGATCAGCTTGATTCAGGTGTTCTCACATACGTGAAACCAGATGCGTGCATCAGCCGGGCTCAGGAAATGTACTCCAATAAGAGGGATCCGACTTTGCAGGTGCAGGGGAACGAATTGAAGCTCGCCGCCAAGCAGGTGGAGTTGAGGTGCTCCGTTAGCGCCGACATGCAATTGAGGCAGGCTTGGACCCGTCGGTCTCTCGCCATGGAACTTGCTCAGCTCGCTTCATTCACAGTGATGGAAACTTGGGTCCAAAGCTTGTTCTCCAGGATGCAAAGGGAACCTCCTGCGGGGTATCACTCCATTTCCCTCTCGCAGGTCATGGCCGCAGATCGGGAACTTTTCCAGCTGCTCTCTCACAATCTTATGGGTCAGATCCAGGCCTCGGCAGGAGCTGTCAGGCCCCTCGACCTGGAGATCGATGGCCTCAGTAAGAGCACAGACGTGTTGGTGCACCTGCTGCCGCTTGTAAGGCCGCCTCCGATGCCTCATCCGGTCAAGCGACCCTTTCCCGATCAGACACCACATAAGCCTACGCCTAAAGGTAAGGGGAAGGGTAAGACCGCTGATCATGGCCAGGAGGATGGGGAAGCCCCTAAGTACACGCTGCCTGATGGCTGTGTCCCCAAAAACGAGGCCGGCAAACCTTGGTGCTTTCTGTGGAATCAGGGCCGATGCAAGTATAAGAATACCAAAAAGGGCCGTTGAGGGGATACCATGGGTGCTATTACCGTGGGTGTGGTAGGCCGGTGCCATTCATTGAGTGCACTCACACTGATCCCGCCTGAAGTGTGGGGGCCCCCGCGGGTCCTGAGCTTGAGATCCTGCCCGAGGGAGCCGCGTCTCCGAATCAAGTTTCTCAAGAAGGCCTCAGTGGCCTTGCACCACAGGACGCCGAGAGCTTTGCGCTGAACCTTCTGGCGAAGGCCGAGATCTCTGCATCAGATGTGGTTCAACTGTCATTCCTTTTGCCTTGTGATTCAAGTGTTCGGCCGTCCAGTGGCCCCAACGCCTTTCTTTTCAGCTGTGGTGCCTATGTCCACGGGGGTGTCTCGGGTACTTTTGCTAATACTCGAACCCTACCTGCATGCACTCAGCTCCTTGCACGCTTTGCAAAGCAGATTGTCGGGGACTCTTTTCCATTTACATCCTTAGTGCTCCTTCGGGATAACCTCACTCGCTTACATCGCGATCGCAACAACACCGGCCTCAGCGCCCTGATTCGATGCTCAGACTTCCGAGGTGGTGGCCTCTGGGTCTCTGACCCCAAGGGCTCATCGCCCATGCTCTTCGATGGCAAGTCACATCAGGGAACGGAACAGGATCTGAAGCAATGCCTGTACTTTGATCCCTGCAAGTTGTACTGCACCTTACCTTGGACCAACGGCCCACGAGTCGTTCGTGATGCGGGCAAACTTTCACAGGCAGATGCTTATTTGCTTCGCAAACTTGGCTTCAGTCCGGACTCGTCTGGGGCATAGGCTCCGGCAACCTCGCCGATGCTCGAATCCCAGGCCTCCCCTAGTGGTTTAGGCCCCACCTGCCGGTCCCATAGGGGTCAGGATTCGCCAGCTTCAACCGGCCACTGTGCTCCGCAGCAATTTGCCCCGCGGCCACTCTTCGTCGAGCTGTTCGCTGGCAGCGCGGGATTGTCAAGGGCCATGCTCGATCTTGGGTTCGAGGTCGTTACCTTCGATCATTATGTTAATCACCCTAAGGCGCCGGTTTGCAAGCTTGACTTGGCCACTGCTTCTGGGCAGTCGGTCATCTGGGATTTGTTTCAGGCTCGGCGACCCTTTGCAGTGCATCTGGCGCCTCCGATTCTTGCGGACCATGAGGCCCTCGCACAGTTCAGTTGTGACATCATTGGTTGGTGCGTCCGCCACAACGTTGTCGTGTCTCTTGAGCAGCCTGATCGGAGCCCGGGCTGGGCCCTGCTCACGTCCATCGCGCGGTCTCGTCTCCCCGCCGGGGACCTTCCGAAGTGGGCCGGTCTTCAGAAGGTTGTGTTTCCCATGTGCATGCATGGGGGTTCCAGTCGGGCTCTGAGCCGCCTCCTTTGCACGCTTCAGGTGTACGACGCCTTGGCGGTTGCTTGCGACGGCAAGCATTGGCATGGTCCGTGCCCGGGCCTTGGGCTGCTCCTGCTGCCTACCCACAGGTTCTCTGCAGCCGCATCGCGGGCTGCCTACTTCATTGTGCCAAGGCTCGGGCTGCCGCTCCGAGGCCGATTGCTCGCCTTAAGGAGGCTTCCACTGCCGCGCTTGGACGCCAAACTAAGCGCCATGGCCCTTTAGTCCCCGAGTACCGGTCCTTTAAAGTAGTCCCGCAAGGTTCTAAGCTTCAGGCATGCGAGCGCATCCTCTCTTCCAAACATGCGGGGGGATCAGCCGAGGATGCACCCGAGGCTTCGGGTAAGCAGTGGAAACTGGGGATATTGCACTCCCCCTCTGAGTTTCTCGATAAAGCCTTAAATGTGCCCTCACCCCCTTGACGCTGCAAGACCGTTGTCTAAACATTTTCTGGAAGCCCTCGGAACTGTGATGACGACAACACCTAAGGTCTTGGAGCTCAAAAGGAAGCTGGCTAAGGCTGAAATTCTGGCCAAGAAACTCGAACGTGCTGAGGAGGCCAGACATCAAGCCCTACCGGATCATATGAAGAAAGTGCTTGCAAGCAAGAACTTTTCACTCTTTGAGGCACTCCTCAAGGAACATAACTACTGGGATATGGGGGTGGTCCAACTCATGGAAAAGGGCGTGGACCTTGTTGGGCTCCAGGATACCCCGCCGTGCTACCCGCAAAAGGTGGTCCCTGCCACCATGTCGAAGGAAGAGTTCCTGGACTCCGCCGACTGGAGGCGGCGGGCTCTTACGTCCCCTGGTCCTAGGGCCCCAGATGCCGATCAGCTTGCCCACCTCGAGCAGGCGTGCCAGGAAGAGGTAGACCTTGGGTTCATGCTAGGACCCTACTCGGAGGATCAAAGTGTCTAAGCTGTTCGGCCATAACCGTTGGTCGTGCATCCGCAGATTTGTCTTGGAGCAGAAGCCGGGGAAACTGCGGCCCATTGATGATGCAAAGGAGGCACTCGTGAACAGTGCCAGTACTTCGACGATGCGACTTGAACTTGAGGATGCCGACTACCTGTCTGCCATGGTGCTTGAGATTGCACGGCGCATCCTGGCCGATCCTTCCAAACCAGGGGCCGTGCCCTGGGTCGCTAGATGCCTTGACTTGACGAAAGCCTACAAATAAATGTGTGTTTCCGAACGGGACCTGCAGGTCTCCGTAGTCTTCTTCCTTGATAAGCAGGGGAGGCCCAAGTTCTACGTGAGCCACTCGCTGTTATTCGGCTGCACATCGTCGGTGTTTGCATTCAACAGGGTGTCAAAAGCAATCTCATTCCTTCTAAACCAAATGGTGCTTGTGCCGAGCTCTGTGTTCTACGATGACTTTCCTCTTCTGTCGCCGAGCAACACGGCCGATAGCGCAACGTGGGCGACAACCGCGCTGCTTGACCTGCTGGGCTGGGGCCACGCTCGCGTTGGCAAAGACACTAAAGGAATTCCGTTTGCGGCAAGCTTCGAGGCCCTTGGAATGTCGATGCAACTTGATGGGGTACAGAGGGGACGCCTTACCCTTCAAAACAAAGCCGGCCGCATAGAGCAGCTTGTGTCCTTATTTCAGGGGTTCCTTGACAGGGGTGCCATCACGGTGCATGAGGCACAGGTCGCCCATGGGCTCTTGAACTTCTCCGCCGGTTATGTGAATGGTCGAGCCTTGCGCTTGACTTGCCAGGAACTGCTTCGCTTGACGAAGGTCTCGAGCCCCGCTGCTCCGAAGGCGATTCGCAGCTTCTGTGTCAACAGCATTGAGGCCCTCCGGGCACTGAGCCCCCGTGTGCTTAGCGTATGGGACAGCCGGGCTCCCATACATATCTTCACGGATGGTGCCTGGGAGCAGCGTCGAGCTGGTGTTGGTGCAGTCATCTTTGATACAGCTTCGGTCTGGTCGTGGACTTACGAGGGTCTGGTCCCAGAGCCGCTCATCCTCCGATGGGAGGCCGATGTCGGGACCCAACTTATTTGTCAAATCGAGTTGTATATGCTGTGGTCTGCCTTAGATGGGCCCTTGCCTCTACCTTCGATCACAGACGCTTGATATGGTGGATTGATAACGAATCAGCCCGCTTTGGCTTGATTAAGGGCATTTCGGACAGCCCTTCCCTGTCATCCTTGATTCAGGCGTTTGCACTTGCGGACTCTAAGGCACCTTCGTACAGTTGGTACGAAAGGGTCCCATCTTTCTCGAACATCGCGGATGGACCAAGCAGAGGTGATTCTACAGAGGCCTTGACTGTCTGCACAGACAAGGTGGGGTTCGATTACCCTCTCGACGAAAGCCTCATCCGGAGGCTGCTGTCTTCATGATGTCCTGCTGGGTAGCTTGTGCACTCGGGGCACCTAGCCAATCGTCGGGGGGATATTGTGCCCCGTAGATCTCGTAGGCCTTGTGCCGAGGTCGGGGCATACAAGGATCGTTTCACGAGTTCCTCCGATCGGCTTTGCAGCCAAAAAGAGTCCGAGCGTCTGCGATTGCATTTCACGTGTCATTTGGAACATATTCGTGATTTGCGGATTTTTCCCTTTTATATTATGATTGGAGTCGGAGCTTATAAGTTTCGAACGTATCCTGGAGAGCAGTGGCTCCCATTTGAGATATGCCACATTTCTGGGTTGCCCCAGTTTTGTATAATTAGAAGAACCGCTCCGACTTGTCGGTAGCGCTTTCTAAGTAGACAAAACTGCAGGCTCGCGTAGCGAGCCGGGGCGACTCTAGTATCTTTGTACAGTCATGTTGTCTGAGAGCGTTTTACCCCAAACAAATTTTTACATGATGATTTTCACGGTGAGTTTTTCATGAATGGTTTTTGCGCTTTTGGCATGCGGGATCCACCTTTCTGACTTGATCTCATTCAGCATGGCCGCGCTCGCCCCTTTTCAAGCATCAGAGGGGCGGGACCTATCATTCATGAAATTTTGAACCCACCCACCCTCCCTTGGGGGGGATATTGTGCCCCGTAGATCTCGTAGGCCTTGTGCCGAGGTCGGGGCATACAAGGATCGTTTCACGAATTCCCCCGATCGGCTTTGCAGCCAAAAAGAGTCCGAGCGTCTGCGATTGCATTTCACGTGTCATTTGGAACATATTCGTGATTTGCGGATTTTTCCCTTTTAGATTATGATTGGAGTCGGAGCTTATAAGTTTCGAACGTATCCTGGAGAGCAGTGGCTCCCATTTGAGATATGCCACATTTCTGAGTTGCCCCAGTTTTGTATAATTAGAATGCCTAATCTGACCACAGAAGACGCTGCAAAAGTCAAGAAAGGGAACACACTGATGCGATTCTCCATGCGAGTGCTTCAGCTAGGGCTCGGGATTCAAGTACGGGTTTCGAGAGTTTCCGTGCGTCCAGGCTATTGCTTTGCCCCAGTGTATTACATCTACTGCGGCGACCCCAGTGCTCGTATGTTTCTCTTGACCACTTTGCGCAGGAATTCAAGATTTGCGGGAATCAACCTCTCCTTGGAGCCACCGCGGCATCATCTTTGCCAGGGACCTCGGCACGGTCTTTGTTTTCACTCGGGACGAATGCATTTTCGCCCCTCTCAGTGTAACCAGCTGTTGCTGAACAAGCCTCTCGGCAGCTACCCACAAACACTGTGTCGTCAAGTTGCTCTATGCTTTTTCAACTTTGAAGTTGAGCAAATTGCAAAGAATTTCGAGAAGCGGCTATACTATACCAGTGAGCTAGCTGATTCGGCAGATCCTGGCTGCTGTTTCGGGGGGCGGTTCTTGCAACACCAATTTCCGAGCAGTCGCTGGACCTGGACGGACCTCTTCAGGCTTCGCAGCAGCTTTGCACTTCCTTTCTGGCAGTGAAAAAGAAGTGAGCGAAGGATTACAAGCGTTCTTGAACAGATTTGAGGATGAGCGGCCGGTTTGTTCGGCCGCACGTATCCTCTCAAGCTTTCACCGCGCACGTGCCACCCTCGGGGGCGGTTCGTGCAGCACAAACTTGCCGAGGAGTTGCTGCGCCTGGACGGACATCTTCAGGCTTCGCAGCAGCTTTGTGGTCCCTTTCTGGCCGTGAAAAAGAAGTGAGCGAAGGATCAGTTCAGTGATTTCTGGCTGTCGTTCAGACGGTGCTCAAGCTTGAACTTATAAACCACTAGCCCAAGAGTGGCAACGCCTAAAGCTAGTTGTGTGTTTCTCTTTTTAGTCAACTGTGTTTTCTACCTAGTGTCGAAAGAAGTACTCTTGCGCCGCACTGCTTTTCGGCACTGGCAACACAGCAACACAACAAACCTTTATGCATCGCATGCAAGCAAGCAAATTTTTCACCCACCCTCCACGCCCTGGGGTGAAACGCTCGGCATCGCTTGCCATTTCCTTCTCGCGAGCAATGCCTCGCTAAGCACTGCATCCTCAAGCAAATTCTGCGGTAAAAAAGAGAGTGAGTGCTACACCGCGTTGCACCATGCTTCTTTTGCAATAGAGTAGAGAACCCCTAAATTTTTTCATGACTCGTGAAGCCCGTACATCTCGAACATTGCAAAACTTCGGATCCAAACCGAAAGCGTTGCTTTTGAGTTTGAATTTGTTCTTTCAATCTTACCAACCAAAAACTGAGTCCGAGAGCTCCAGCAGCTCGTCCAGTGACTCTTCGTTTTCGTCTTCGAGCTAGCGGCTCACGGGCAGAGAATCAGAATGTCACATAATCGCGGCGACCATGCGCCTGGATAGCAAGAGGCTGATTGCAAGATTTTCATGACCACTGATGGGTGTTCTGCCGATTTGGAAACGCTGGTCGGCACCACTTTCTTTGTGGTGACTTTGTCATCTTGTGAGCCTAGTTGCGCTCCTGGTGGGCTCGTTTTCGTAAATGGCGGAAGGATTGCTTGTCGGAGGGAACGCCTCCGGGGAGCTCCGGGGAGCTTTGGGGAGCCGGGCCTTGCGCGGTGAGTCGGAGCCTTGGCCGAGTGGGCTCGATTTAGAGGCTTTGTTTCTTAAACATGGGTGGGAACCTTCGGGGAGCTCCCGAAACCTCCGGGGGCGTTTCGGGGAGCCTTCGGCGGGGAAGCGGTTCGGGGCTGGTTTGAGGCACGCAGGATGGCTCTTGTTTGAACTTTGCGAAACGGTTGTCGAATCTCAATCTTTTGACTGAGGTTCGTGCAGTTACGTTCTCGCTGCACCATACATCCTAAACCCCGATTTCTTAAACCTTAAATCCTAAGCGCAAACCTTAAACCTCAAGAGCAACATGACAAAGGAAACTTTTCCTCAATTCGAACGCGGCGCCCAAGCCGAAACCCCATCGTAGCGAATAATATTTGAAGATATTTGAAGGTTTGAAGTTTTATGCGGCATCTTCAAGCTTATGCACTTGAAACCTTAAGTTTAAGCGTAATACTAAGCCCTTACAAATATAGTCATTTCCGTAAACTTTACATTCTAACGTAAGACAGAACATCGTAAACCACAAGTTCTTACATCCTATACCTTCACAGTCAGAACACGAAGCCTTTTTAAACCCTCAAACCTGCTGGGAGCCATTTGTGAGCAGTTCGAAAAAGCCACGCCTCATTTGAGTTGTGCCCACCTGTGAGCAACATGTTTGCAGAGCCTTCACAGACATCCAATACAGGGGAGGCGGTGAGCTGCAAATCTGCAAAACCAAACAAACTTTTTCATGACGATTTTGCTTCATAGCTTTCCCGGGCAGCAGCACATAGTTTTTTTTGCAAAGTGCTTTCTGACCGAGTTCTTTGGCACCTTTGCTGCCCGACAACACCCTTCCAGCGCTTTGCAAGTCATAATGACAAGAAAAGGATTGTGCCACTGCCTATGACAACTTTGATAACACATATGTTGGTGTTATGGGTGGTTTTCCGACACCTTGAAAGAGCAATGGCCTGTGAAAGTGGTCATTTTGAGCCGAAGAAACCCGACCGGACCGCCGACTCGAGCTCGTGAGCTCCGTCTGCACGGGCTGAAGAGGCCTCTCACTCTAAGCTGGACCTGCGGAAAAGAGCCGAACGCACTGGGTGAAATCCCAGCAACGAAGGGAACCACGCCAGCAACGTCACCGTCACAGTCCACAGCACGCCAAGCTTTGATAGAGCTCTGGTTTGAGCGTGAGCGTCGTGTTAAATTCCCTGTCAGAAGGCGTCAGCTTGCTCTGTTTTTTCTGGGCCCCGCAGGTGCAACTCAGCATCTGTGACACCACACTGATCGATTTTCGCATTGACTTATGTAATTACGGGTTGTTGTTTCTTCACCTTGGCCTCCAGTCTTGGCTGGTTGTCGCGATGCTCCTGCCCTCGTCTCGTGCCGTTCTCGTCGTGGTCTTCCTGCTTTCCTCGTGGTGGTGTCGTGGTGGTCCTGGCCTGCCACTGCTGTTGCTACTCGAAAGCTTCGTCTCCGTTTTGGCACCATGAGTCCTGGATTTGTGGCATGTCCGCCCCATTCCAAGCTCCAAGCTTCGAAAGCCACGACTAGCTGTAAGAGGGTGTCCAATATGGTCAGAAGGCTCGACGTGCGAGGTAATTATGGGATACTTCGTGGGTCGTTTCGCAGCTGGGTATCGTGTCACCTGTTGCGATGGATAAGTGTACGAATGGTGCCGTTTCAGTGGTTCTTGGCCATGTTCATAAAGGCGCAGCATGTCCATGCATTTGTCATGTTACAACCAAGTATCTTCCACGACTCCGTTTCACCAGTACTTGCGACTGCATCGATACATGGCGAATCGAGTTTAGTTTGCTGCTGGACGGCATGCTTCAACATGGCGGAACCTACGCCTGGCACTTACACTGGAAATTGTGCGTTCGCGGGAATCGGACCTTCGCTGAAACGTACATCAGCCTTCAGGCCTCAGAAGCCAAAGATGCCGCGATCCAGAGACAGGCTTCAATGATTCCCGTTGTCATCAAGGGCTTGTGCGTCCTCATGTTCGGGACGGCTCTTGTGAAGTGTAGAGGCAGATTGCAAGGGGCGCGAGACTTGCCCAATGGCGTTGAATCGTCTGTGCCCCCAGAGGACGCCGCCAAACAGCGCGGACCTGAGCAAAACTTTAACTGGCTGATTAGCAGAGCATC